CCTTTATATAATTTAGAGGTGTGGGCACATCATTGCGTGCTTGTGTTCGCATCCACAGCGGACTTGCGGCATTGGACTCGGCTATGCTTTGAGTAGTATTCATCGCCAAATCTGCGAGGGCTCGTGAATTGATCCCGGCAGTGGGAATGGCGGAAGCTTGTGTGAGTGGACGTTGTCGGTCAATGCGGAAGCACCCTGCATCCACTGGCACCACCACTGTCCACTGCACGATGTGACGGTCCAGTGAGCTATCTGCCCTCTGGTTCAAGGCAATGCATACATGACTTCACGAACGAAGTATCAGTACTAGATTATTGTTTACGAGAATGATACACCTCACTAGCTGCTGAATGTCTGTAGGATATATTCAAGGTCGACGCGTCGACACTCGGTCAAAGGGATGCGATGCGGCTAGTATGGGTAAAGCATTGTTAATCGAGTACTTACCACTTTTCCAATTCCTCGACCGACGTTCCATATGTCATTTCACTGCTCATGATGTTCACGCATGATGATAAAGGTATCGCATTTGGTCCTAGGACCTGCATCATATATTTATCAATAACTTCTTCGATCTCGTATTGAAAAGCCAACAGCATACTCCACGTATCGGCTTTCTTGGTTGCAAATACACGGCATGATAAACAGCAACAGCAACCATCACACTTTGTGAAGCACTTGGCTCGTGTGTGAAGGACAGGGTAGGACTCGACTCCTGCACCGTGAAAAATTGAGTTGCAAATTCGTGATCACTGATTATGTCCAAGCCTGAGAGCAGTAAATGAATCGTACGCAGGTTTTCTGGAGACCCGAAGACAAACGAAAAAAGACGCAGCTGACCGGTCGACCCCTCGCACCATATACCACGCATCGTAAGAAATTCTCTGGAGAGCTGAAGCTTTTGAAGTGCTGTCACGGACTCACGAACTCCCAACTTGAACTCGACTACAATGATACCTCACGTGACCCCAAAGTCAACTTGGATAATACCCCTAATCTTGCATTATCAGAAACAAGGTGTGAGTTGATTGGTTGCAGAATACGAAAGTGAAAGACTAGAGAAAGACTGTACTGTGAACAATTGGGGACTTGGAAACTGAGGGGGAGTAGAATGAGCTTAAGGGGGTTGCAGGCTTGAGAATGACGATTATTTCGTTTGAATTCGGTTCGGTTCATGTTGTTATTAGAATTTTATTGACGCACAGCCTGAATCATTCAATAATTGTCATATAAATGACTAGTAGAAGGAGCTACTCATCGAGTACACCGCTCGCATGGCAAGATGCCGAGAATCCATAAGTATTGAGCATAAATTAAACAAACCATGTCTCAGACATGAGAAACAAGGTCAAGCGGCCCCCGAAGTATCGTACTTAAGTCTATGTAGCTAATCGATAGTAGTACATGTGGTGGAGACTGTGCCATGGTCGAGCTTTGCGCGAATGCGATGGTGCCGTTTTAAGGCGATGGGTGAAGCGATACGATTCTCTTTCTCTCTACTCCTCCGGGTCCTTTTCTTTCGAGGGGAAGGTGGCTTTGTTATGGCAGGCGTGTTTGATTCAGCCAGACTTATTGCTGTGTTTGCTGGTTCCTCTAGGGGTAGGAGTGCCGAGTTGGAGCACTCGGAAACGTTGGACTCGTCCTGCTGGCGCTGGAGAAGGCGGCTCAGGCGCGGTGGAAGATGATTGGTGGGCATAAGCCTTATGGTGACATGGTCATTGATTCGGATCACCTTTCCCGGTAGAGTCATTATGGAGAGTAGTGTGAGGACAAGGCAGTAGAAAGTGAAGGTTTGTTCTGCGATGCAGCGTTCAGTAGGGTAAGCTTGGTAGCTACTCTGCAGACATGCATCCTTTAATAATTATCTAGAACTGTGGATGAACCATTGTGGTTGTCTTCAAACACCCACAGCGAAATTACGACGTTGGACTCAACAATGCCATAAATGATATCACTTTCTGTGAGGGCCTGTGGATTGATCATGGTGGTAAGAACGGTGGAAACGCTTGAAAACTAACAATGACGGTCAATGCAGAAGCACATTGCGACCAATAACATCGACCACCGTGACGGTCCGACGGGTGATCCGTTAGCTTATGTAGGCAATGCGTAGACGAGAACACGAACAAAGTATCAGCACACAGACCGGCGGTCCTAGGTTACAATAATGACACATCTCACCAGCCGCTGGCCGCAACGTTCTGTGGGATATACTCAAGGTCGGTCAAAGGAACACGTCTCGGAGGATTGGGCTATTTTTATATTGAGAGCTTTCTAATCCCTCGGTCGATCTATCATGTATTGTTATACTTCCCATGACACATGATAGTTTTCTGGGATCCACAAGCATTGAGGAGCACTATGAAGTGCAAGGGCGGATGCTCGAACTCCTTCTCCACTAATTTAGACTTTAATTTGTCTCGAAGTTCACAGGACGACATACCAGGATGGCGCTCTGCGAAGTACTTGGCTCGTATGCTACTTGGAGCCACCGTGAAGGCGAGAAAGGACGAGACATCTTCTGCACCCTGCAAAAGTTGAGTTATTAATTCGTGAATGTGTCCAAGAACAATCCCACGCAGTTTTTCTGAAAACCTTGAAACAAGTGGAAAAGACGTCTGGAGACATTATTATGCAACGAAAGACCACGAAAGCAAAACAAAGCCATATCACGGGGAATCATGCTCTGCAAAATCAAACAGCGTTCTTTCGGGTGTTCAAACTTGGTATTAGAAAAGGCTCCTTCTGTCTTTTTACCAGTCCCGCCATGGTATTATATTTATCGGCTCTTTGTTCGCACTATTTCGGGTTATATGCGCAAAGAACGTCGGTCAGGTGCTCGCGGAGTATGGTCATGGTTCAAGCGAGTCGTTGGAAAATAGAATAAGAGCATCATAACAATCATATTGCACCTTAGCCGCGACTCGTCATCTAGCCAAAGAGCCGCACGCTCTAACTTATGGTAATCATCAGCACACACAACAACTGACCAGTACAACGATTGAGCACGCCACCTGCGAGTATTTGTTGAAAAGTCCACGAGCCTTGATCAAGTCAGGTTTTACACACGAGCATCAGATGTAAGCTGTGCTTTGTCTGAAAAGATATTCAGTGACGTACATTTCTCGACGCAACTATAGTAGCGACGGCGCTTGTACATCTACGGTCTCGACATTCCGTCCCTGAGACCTCCCTTTCTAACCCTTCTATAGTACAAAGACAACCTATCTGTGACATGACATCAGCTTCCCGTATCATTGAAAAGGGCATAAAATGCTAACCAAGATGCCATCTCCCAGTCATCTTGCGGTTGAGATTTGGTAGGAACGGGCGCGCTAGGGTCAGCTGGATCTGACATCTGCCAATCTTTGGAGAGGTACTCAGACACGTAGCTATCGCCCCCGTAACTAGAAGCATTTGCTTCATTGTTTTGTGAATGACCAACGTCCGAGTTTCCATCCCTCGTAATGGTAATCTTTCGCTTCAATGGTACTATGACGCGCAGGGGCAAGATGGCAGAGGACGGGACGGCAGGTGTATCGGTTTCACGTCGAGCATCTCGAGATCTCTTTTTATGGTTTCGTGAGGCCTCTACTGGGGGGCACGCTGAGACAGAGCTCTGGTAAGATGAATCTGAATGTGTTGGTCTTGGGGAGGAGGCTTTGAGCCTGAGAGTGACCTTAGGGCCAAGACGCACAACATAGTCGGACGACATAGTAAACAGTGGCGCGAGGAATGGGGAGTGAAGTAAAGGAGCGCTGAGTGGGACGAACTTGATAGCTACCTCGCAGACACGTGTCCTTTAAATGAGTTAAAGCTGTGGGCGGACCATTTTGTGATTGTCTTCAATACCCACAAGGGCCTGTGGATTGATCACAGTGGAAGAAACGAAATGGCTTACATGGTAGCGAACAATAACGATGGACTAGCCTTGGGTCTTAACAACAATTTCTGATTTCGCTAGCCATGTTGACATCCGGAAATATCATATTCTCGCGGGTCAGTCGACTTATGTTTTCAATCCCCGCAGAAACCAAATTGGCAATCGTTAACGTTCATATCGGATGTTCAGGCAAGTTCTCTGATCCAAGCTTCCAGCTGGAAGTCCTCGTCACCAATTATTATCAACATGGAAAAGCAAGGCTAGCTAAGAATCCCCAACTTGACTTTGAAAGTCCGAACGGTTATTTATCGCTTACTGACAAACTCACTAGAGCCCAACGTTCAACACCCACCCTCATCGCTAAAAAATGAACGTATGTCCTCCTTCATGCGGAACTTCGTGCACACCGCTACCAACACCGCCTCAACGCCATTGTTACGCCACTAACACTGCCAGCTGTGGCTTGAGTCCTCCAAGTTCTCCCTTGTCATCCGGAGGTATATTGCATGATGTAAATATACTCACACGTCAGTGACAGCGACGAGCATGGTCTTGGAGACGGATACTAAGGATGGCTTTCCTTTGACCCCTAACTCTAAGTATTCAGGCGGCGCATATCATCATGTCACTGGTACCTCTCCTGGGGCTGAATCGAGTCATGCGTAAGCGGGTCCAAGCATCATTGAATGAACTTCAATGTCGACTAGGTCCCGCGAACTCACTGGCAAAGTAACATTCGCTCGTTTCTTTCTGTGCTTTATCCTTACGTCGCCCATGTACAGCCTGAGTGAAGAAGCACTCTGCTGTCACCAAAAATTGGGATTGCACAGGACTGTTCTGGTATAGTTGGTTATACAAACGAGCAAGAGCGCAAACAGCAGTCGCTTTGTCCCTGATACGATTTTAGAATGTACCTGGAATGTAAGAGACCACAGCCCAAGTGCATCAGATGGCTGGAGCCATATAGTTTTTAGGGTCATGATTCAAAAGCACTGCTAGCATATATGCGTCTTTCGTAGAGCTGTGAACGGCTTATTCCGTGAATGCTATTCGCGTGACTGGATTCCTTGTACATCAGTAATCACTCAAGATCATACCTCGACGTCTAGTCGGGCATTCATAGTGCTGGCATGGATCGCGTTTCGCCAATCAGACCTTTATGTCCATCAATCTGAGCCTTCATAAGCTCCATCCTTGCTCTCATCTCCCCCATCTCGTCCTTTAGATCAGCGTTTTCCTCCCTCAACCTGGCGTTGGTTGCAGCAAGCTCCGACTTCTCTTCCATAAATGCTGCTATCTCGGCTTCAGGAAGGCGTCGGGAGGCATCACACCTCTTTTGAAGTAGAGAAAGACGGGCCTCTAGTGCCTGGTTTTGTCGTCGATGGCTCCTACAACAACGTTTTGTTCAGAATGCATGTAAAGAAAATGAAACTCATACCGAGCATCCTCGCTCATTTGTTCGAATGTCTTCTGATAGCTCTCTAGATGCATCTCCACTTGCTTAAACTGTGTTGTCAGCTGTTGGAGCTCTTCAGCCCGATCATTGAACCTCTGGAAGTCTGTATCCCTACGAACAAGTCAGCAAACATCGTGGCGGAACCCAACGTGAGAAAGTCGAACCAGAGACGTTGCATGCGAACGTGCTGATCAATCTGTCGCTCATAGTCCCTCAGACGATCGACCTTGTGTTGGGTTTCCTTCCTCTGAGTCTGAAGCTCAAATACCTGCTTTACTGCATCCGCGAGCAATTGTCCTTGAGCAGCAAAAAGAGCCTAGGCAAGAATTAGTATAAAATCCTGATTTCGAATAAAATTCTACCTGAGCTTCTTTCTCCGCCGTCCGTAGCGAAGCAGCTTCAGAGACCCATAACTTCTTCTCCTCCCGAAACTCTTTCAGCTTGTTCTGCAGTTCGGTATTCCAATCAGCATATTTGTTTTTTGCAGACGATGATTGTTCCCTGTGATCCCTCAGCTGGCGATCTAGCCGCTGGACCTCGGCTCTGTAGTGTCGTAGCTTGTTGAACTATTGAATGTTAATCAGCAAGTTGAATAACTCGAGTACAAAACACACACCAGCCCCTGTTGCTCAACTTCTGCATTTTTGGACAAAATCTTATCTTGGTAAAGGCGTCCAATGTGTTTCACGTTTTCCCGCGAAAGCCAAAGCTCAAAGTTAAGTTCATTTCGCAGAAGTAGGACTTCACGCTGGAGACCAGAAATTGCCTGTGCAACATGAGATGGAAGTTGTTCATTGTAAGTATTTGGCTCTGACGGTATATCGGAAGCGCGCTTTGTCGGAGAATTGCTCCCTGTAGGGAACAACAGGGATGACCAGGCGGCTGTTGGGGCCTCGATCTCCACATCCAGATTGGATTTGAGTGCAACGGATGCCGTGATCATGCTCTCCAGTGAGACGCGGGGTTTTACAGTTGGCAGTTCTACATAGCCAGGGTGGGGCGTTGGTGCCGTTGAAGTATCTCCGTCAAATATGGTAGTTGACTCGAGGAGCGATGGCTCAGCAGCAGTCGATGCAATATCAGCACAGAACTGCTTGCTACCTAGAGCTGTGTTTCGCACGTCAAGCATCGTGCACTCGCTCGCGATGCGAGAGACACTGTAATTCGCCCACGTATCAGGTTCTGTCAACTCTTTTCTCCAATCTCCCCATATGACTCTTGCATTGACGATTCTTCCTCGCAAAAGAGACTGCAAGCTTTATTCAGTTATAAGGATCGAAATAAATGGTCATTTCGTACCTCTGATTTGCTCCTTATGTTGTCCTCATCGAGAGCATCTTCCCAACTAATAGAGAAGGGAGATTCATATTGTCTATCGTTAAGGTACGCTGAGGGGCCACGTAGGAAGCGGAGCAAGTTACATGGGAAAAGATAGTAGAGGCAGGAAAAATAAATCCCAGGTGGTGGGGTGGAAGATGCGGCATTAAACATGAGCTCCAGCCTGTCCCAGCCAAGCTCAGGTCGTAAGGGCAGGTTACAGGATGCAGTGAATTCGTTATACGCTAATCCTTGCGCATCGCCATTCGCAGAACTTTCGTCTGTATCCTCAGCCCCCTCCTCAAATACTGGTTTGGGAACGGATCTTTCCTTCCAGCATATAATTCTTGCAAGAATTGCAAGAAGACGAGGGAGCATCATCTTCAGCTTCTCAGATGCTTTTACAGCAAAGATAGGGAGAAGCTTGACTATGACAGTCAATCCAATGGTGCACACCGTCGAAGAATTGTCCAGCAGTAGTGAATTGAGGAGACTATCCAACAAAAGATGGTCGGCGAGTGCTGCTGCGAGGGACTGGAACGACGGCTCTGAAGTGTATCGATTGAGCAGGATCAATAGTTGCAGACGCGACGAGGGTGTTGCAAAGGAGTGGTTTATTGCGGACATGAAATCCTAAGCACATCCTTCAGCACGTCTGGATGAGACAAACTGCAGCTGTCGAATACCTGAGGCTGCCGCAACCCAGACTTCACGAGGACATCTTCTAGATTGAACTTCCACAGCGATCTTTTCTCCCTCTGTTCCTGGTCGAGTTCGGCCCACTCCAGCAAGTCATCGCCAGATCCTTCATTGTATGCATCCAAGACATAAAGGTCAAGGAGGCGACGTCGAAAGTTGGCCACCTTCTCGGGATACTTTTCGTCTGTTTTGACTGCTGCTGATATAATTAGTTCCTTGGCGTGATTGGCAGCCGGAGTGGAGAGCCGTGGTTCTCGCAAGGCGGGACGAAGGACCAGGTCGAACCATGTAGAGATGAGCGAAATTGATGTTAACAAGGGGCGTAAACGGAATAGGATGGCCAATAACACTTCAGTATACTGGAGGAAATTGTGGGTGATTGTATCGCTGTGGAATGATTGGAGTTCCTCTTCCAATTGGAAGAGTAAAACGTCTGGTTCTTTAGATGCAGCACATTCACGAACAAAGTCATCTACAGCCTGAAGAACCTGTTCCAGTCGTGCATCGTCTGGAGCCTCTTCCAATATTATGCGGACTTGGAGTGACAGTGCTGTTATCGACATAAGCAGGATGGGCTCTCAGAGATCAAGGTTTCGCTAAGTAGCTTTGTATAAACGTCACACCGCATAAGCGCTCAAGCGCTCACCGCTCCTCCCCAAATTGTTACTAGTCACACCATAGTAATACAAAATGTATGCTGGCAAGTCAATCTTTCAATAAGATACTTGCGGCACGATCTTACTTCTGAATTCGGGTTTCTTCCGATTTAAACGTTATACCTGTAACATTCGCTTCCCATTGATCCGCTCTGTTATCTTTCGGATACCGCGGTAGATAACCTTTACGCAACTTCTTCTTCGTTGATGATGAAATTAAAATCCCAGAGCACTCATCCTGGCGATGGACGGCCTCGTCGCTGGATGGGTTGACACCAGTGTAAGATGAGGGGGTCCACACGATATATTGAATATCGATCAACCTAGCATTTGGTACGTTGGAGACTTTCGGATTCATATGAAGATCACTCACTAATGAATGAGAAACGAAACAGATCATCATACGTATTCAAGGTCCCTACCCGATGAAGATCCTTCGAGCGGTGCAGTGGTTGCAGGAATGCTGAGACACCACATGCCGTGTGTGGTCATGTCTGAAATGTATTCAGTCACTTCAGTAGGAAGACGACATGTGAGCACGTGGAATGCGCTAAGTAATTGGAAAGTGCTGTTGGAAGTTATTGATTGCTGCCTCAGCATACTTGGTTGCTGTACCCATTGTGAATGATGGACAATGCCTTGTCACACTGGAAGTTACGCATGATGATGTCGCGACTGTGTCGTATAATCATTTGAAGCGGATGAGAGAGGACCTTCATTACATGGAAATCACCATTGCATCAATGGTTTGAACAGCAGTTATCGTGGAGTTATCGCAAGTTCAAATGATTGATGCGAGTGCGGGGGTTGCCTTTTTCGGCAAAAGCCGAGTTCACAGGTTGACTCTGCTTGCTCGCTGTTGACAACGACGAGTACACATCCATTCAAAAAAACCTCATAAAATCCAAGGTGAGCGTCATTTCAGACATTGAAAACCTCGAGATACGTGACTTGTGACGAAATGAGAGTCTTTGGATGGATCGACAGTGATTATTTCAGATGTACCCGGACACGTCGCTGACGCGTCCATTAGATGTCTGCTACCATCGAAGAACTCCCTTCGGACCACTCTGACCACGACCATGACCATGACCATGACCACGAGGAGGATCCCACCTCCCAGGCCGCTCTCGACAAAATTCAGTCTCGTTCAGAGCGAAAGGCTCGAAAGGCTCTTCTTGGTTTGGGTTTGAAGAAGGTTCCCAGCATCACCCGCGTGACCCTCCGCAGGCCCAAGAACGTGTTATTCGTTCTCTCTTCCCCCGATGTCTACAAGTCGCAGAACAGCGACTGCTACATCGTGTTTGGTGAGGCAAAGGTACGTAAGACGGTTGAATATATGTTTTGTTGTTGATGTCTCGTTTCTATAGATTGAGGACATGAACTCGCAAGCTCAGATGTCTACGGCTCAACAACTTGCTTCTGCCGGCGGCGCAGGTGCAGGGGTCAACCTTGAAAGCTCTGGTGCGGGCGGTGAGGGTGATGATGATGACGACATCCCAGAACTCGAAGCACCAGAAGACGACGGACCAGTTGATGAGACGGGTGTCGATCCTAAAGACATTGAGTTGGTCATGGCACAAGTCAACTGCTCGAGGGCTAAGGCAGTCAGAGTATTGAAAGAGAGCGGAGGAGATCTGATCAATGCCAGTGAGTCCTTTTGCTGATTTCCTTGACCCCTTTGGTTCAATATCTGCCTTTAGTTATGGCAGCGAGCGAATAGTGTTCTGTCTTGCTCAGTGCTCAGATTTTTCGTCACTGTATCATATCACAGCTTTACTCGTGCAAGTTATTCGTATCGGGCACGTCCCGCATAGGATGATGAGTCAAGATACCCAGCGCCGTAACTCGACATAATAATTCGACCGTTCCCATCCTTCTTGGATAATCTCAACGCCTCTGCATCCCTTAGCATTTGCGCTCTCTCTCGATCCAACCATTAGTCCAAGCCCTTCAACTGCTTGGATCGTGAGCTGTTTGAGTTCGCCCTTTGCAAACATATGATAGTATCTGTTGTATACGGGAATCTCTGCTGCTAACGTTGGGGCAGCTGACATGACTTCTTTCGATGTAGCTGAAGGGGGGATGTCGTTTTTGAATTTCCCTTTCGCAGTGTGCTGGTTTTGAGACATTACCCAGGGAACAAAAACATCTTCGCCAGTCAGAGGGTAGTGATCCGATCCATTGGTGTCACTAGTTGGGATCGACCGTTTGGATAGCTCATCCTGCTCAATGGCCCACACATAGATCATCACGCGTCCGTGGATTGGAGAGACGGCCTGTAAAAGACGCTGCAGAACATGTTGGTGATGGACTTTCTGTCTATAAATGAATGTAACCCTCACCTGAACGGCGAGCTTTCGACGGTCGTGTGATGCCAGGTGATGGATCGTGGCTATAGATATGGTGTAGTCCTGACAAACGGCGGTCAAGACGAGTCGTCCTACAATGAATAATAGCCGTTATTACTCACGAATGCACCCAATCTCCAACCACTCCCAAGGATATCACCCCAAACAACCTCTCGAGTTATCAGACACCCAGGCTCACTCCCGGCGTGCTGGGCGATCTGGAGCAAGTTGCGACTTCGATCGAGGCCGATTGTTAGTACACTACCAGGGCGATCTGCGGGCAGAGGAAGATATTTTCCATTCCCTGTTCCCGAATCCAGACCAATCCAGCCAGTTGGCAGATCAGAGAGAAATTTAGCTATGATAGGCCAAGGCTTCAGGACGCGATTAAGTCGTGATGATTGAATTTTCGATACAGCAATTCGCACCTTGTACCGAGTGGATGAAAAGTGAGAGGCAATCTGGTCATACACGGCGTGAACGTGTTGGTCTTCGTGTACTTGCGGATCATCGATAATCGTGATACTTTTTACGGGTTTCATTTCACAGATGGATTGGATGAGGATCGTCGTGGTATGGGTACGACATGAATATTGAGAAAGTACTGAGTGCAGCATCTACCTTCAATCGCTTCCTCAACACAAACTCAACACATATTAGATGAAGCCCATTTCCTCATCTACTAACTTAGAGAATTTAGTCCCGTCGAAGGGAGGAAACGGAACTAGGTCGCGAGGTTCGAATAATGCAATTGTCGATGCGAGGTCTCTGGCAATCAACTTGATTAGACGACCTGGTTATGATAAATGAAAGTGCCTACTGAATGGATGTCGCCTTTAGGTGACCCAAGATCTGAAGGGCGGATGCTAACTCCTCTTGGTGGTTATCCAACAGGGTTGGATTGGGTACGACAATAAGAGGTTTTCCTAGCCTCAGGACATCCAGAATCGTTCCTGATCCTTCCTCATAGTTTGAGTTACAGCGTGTTCGAGGAGAGCAGACAACTTACCAGCATGGCTGATGACGAGGTCTGCTTGCTCACACTCAGCCTGAATGAAAGGCTTGAACCTCCATATCTCTATATCCACACCGTGTCGTTGTATGGTACAACTCTCTCCGTTGAACTCTTCCGATGATTCAATGACGGAATTACCGCGCTGAATAATGAGGCGGTCGTAACCCGAGTCGCGAAGTGTACTAAGGACAGGTTCTGATATAGAGGCCTCTACAAGAGCATCGAACCTAGTTGAACCTACCGTCACGAATACGAGCATGAGATCGTTCTCGAGGGAGGCCCTCGATCGGGGTGCGGTCCGACTCTCAGGTAGGAAACCGTTTCCTTCTACAACTGGTGATTAGCGAATGCCGCGGTTGGTTTCAGGCTCGACTGAATTTAGCTCTGATGATCATGATGACTCGAAATTTTTTCTTGTTACTTCTATCTGTATTTTAATCACGACAGTCCACGGTGCTCTGCCATGGGATATACGCTTTGCGTGCTAGGTAAGTGAAAGGCTGTATATCGTCTTGCATACGCTTCATGACCGGTTTGCTAGGATGTGGGACCATGGGGATCGCAGTCATCTCCGGGGTGATCACCAGTTTGCAGTCCAGACTGAATACACTTGAGATCCCCAAGTGGGAGTCGCATACACCTGGCACATGCACTCCCACAGCTGACTCTCCTGATCCTTCACTCCCGTCCATTTTCACCGCAACCGTGACAAGGAAAGAGAGTGCACAAAAGCTCCAACATACGTTTGGACTCTTGGGAGGTCTTGGTTCTTCCGTTCAAGTTGTTGTCGGCGAGAACCTTGCAGCGGTTCAACAAGCAGATGTTATTATTTTAAGGTGTGTATCATTAGTTTGTGAATATTTCGTTTTCCTGAATCGTCTTTAGCTGCAAGCCTCACCAGGCTCATGTTATCCTTTCACAGATTGGAATGCAGGAAGCTCTGGCTGGCAAATTACTCATCAGCATTCTTGCTGGTGTGACTATAGCCCAGCTTACCGGATGGGTTCCCCCGACAACCAGGGTTGTCCGCGCAATGCCCAACACTCCATGCAGAGTACGTGGTATCTCACATCTGTGAACAATCTCTGAGGACGCACACAGATTCGAGAAGGTATGACTGTGGTCAGCAACCTACCAATATCAGAGGAAGCTGAGCTCGATCGGTCCATCATCCTGAATATATTTTCGTCTATTGGGCGCTGTCGGTTTCTCGAGGAAAAAAATTTCGACGCATGCACCGCGCTTTCCGGGTCTGGTCCCGCTTTTGCATGTATATTCTTGGAGGCTATGGCAGACGGTGGTGTCATGATGGGCCTCCCGAGGGCAGAGGCCCTGGAACTGGCAGCACAAAGTGAGACTGCTCATCGCACCGCATAACCTGGCTTATTGTTTCCCTAGCTTTGCAAGGCGCGGCACGCATGGTTCTCCAAGCAGGAGCTCATCCAGCTCAAATAAAAGACTCTGTTACAAGTTTGTGATTCCCCATCCGAAGTTACTGGTCATGCTCATGGATACTTTTCTTGCTAAACAGCTCCCGGTGGATGTACGATAGCGGGCCTCTTAGCCATGGAGGATGGGAAAGTTCGCTCAACCATCGCTCGTGCAATTCAGATCGCGACAGAGCGCGCTAGTGAACTTGGCCAGCCAGCGAAAAAATAAAATTGCATGATCAAATTAATGGTCATGCCAGCCAATAAACAGAATAGCATTGTACTTTAGATATGTATCCCAAATCAGTCTTCAAGACCTCCAATGTAAAGGATCGACGACTGCGAGGGTGGCTGCGCACACTGGCTCAGTCATTGTTTACCTATTGCTCCTGTAAAATGAGGACGGTCGTGTGAGTTAACGACGCCGCCCAGAGTGTCAAGGAGCAAGATTCAGAATGTACTGATAGATCTAGCTCGGCATCCAACAAAATACATTTATTCATCTATGGGATAGGTTATAAGGATATGGTCCCTGCAGTCACCACACACCGCTCACCTTGAGTACCTAACTTCAATGGCCCAGGTCAGCTAAGTTAAGATAAGGAAAGTGATCCACATCCGAGGGAATATATCCTGCGTGTGAACCTCACTGCTCTCTGAGCATTAAGCTCATCCACGAGGGCAAGCAAGTGGGGCAAAAATATGTCACAGGATGTCATTTTATATCGCTCATAAGAATGAGCGCCCCTCCGTAAGAAAGCGGAAAGACGCTAAAGTGACAGAGCTCTGATTTGCAGACACCATCGACGACGAGAAGGTGAGGAATAAATGTGATTGCAATCGTAGAATACAGTGGTATCTAGTTGATCCAGATCAGCATCAGTCAATACCATTCATTGAAAATGTGCTTACGATGCATATACTACCGGTCTGGATTGGTGATATGGAATCAGTACTGTGCATCGCAGATAGATGAACAAGGGCTCACAAAACTCGTGAGTATCGTCGGAGCGTTTGACGGTTTGCTGTTGAAGAAAGAAAAAGTGTGAGATTTTTATACACTCACGCGAGACCAAACAAGGTACAAACAACTTACTTTCCACGCCTCTTCGAAATCAACTGGGAGAATAACATATCTGTTCTTCCGCACAGCTGTTGGACACAGAGCGATTACTAGGAATGAAGAACTGCCATAAAAATAAGCTGACCTTGAAGACCAGCTGCTTGTGCAATGGAAGATATTTCTGCGGAGGATAACCGATCTGGTCTTGACACATCTAGATGACATGTTCAGTAAACGCATCATCAGTATTATTGACGAGAAAGTTGGCATACAATCCTCGAGGTCTACATCCGGACCAAGATTCATTTTACTAGTCACAGCCTGGAATATGAGACGTTTTTCACGCCTCGATGGTAGAGGGAATTCAATCTTCCTGTCAAGACGACCAGGACGAAGCAAAGCAGGATCAAGCGTGTCTGCACGGTTCGTGGCCATAATGACCTGTCATAGCGGCAAAGAATCAATAAAACCAGAAATCCACTTAAAAAGTGTATATTTACCTTGACGTTGCTTCCTTGGTCGAAACCATCCATCTGATTGAGAAGCTCCAGTAGAATACGCTGTACCTCCCTGTCCGCTCCCGTTTGAGCGTCGAACCGCTTGGTCGCAATAGCATCTATCTCATCGATGAAGATAATGGCAGGGGCGTTCTCCCTGGCAAGTCGGAAGACGTCACGGACCATACGAGGGCCTTCTCCCAGATATTTCTGCACGAATTCACTACCAACTACGCGAATAAAAGACGCGGTTGTATGATGTGCGACTGCTTTCACAAGCATAGTCTTGCCCGTACCTGTACATCATCGTTAGAACGCGCCACCAGGGCTTGGAAGCAGCGCACCAGGTGGTCCATAAAGCAAGACACCGCGAGGCGGGTCGATACCAATCTTTTTGTAAAGGTCGAAATGCGTGAGGGGAAGCTCGACTGCTTCACGTATTTCCTGCTTCTGCAGGTCCATTCCACCGATATCTTGATAAGACACATCAGGCTTTTCCTCCTTTCCAAGCATGGCTATTGATGAGTCGGCCTCCGGAGGAAGGATATCCACAAGGGCATTTGAATGCCGGTGAAGGGCGACAGACGACGAGGGCTTGAGCAGTTCTCGGTCTAATGTCGACAAAATGCGCACGACATAGTTCGAGCCGGTGGTCGAACCCACGATACCAGTGTGCTGGTCAATTGCCTCGAGGAATTGCCCGATGACGAGCGGGACAGATTTGATGCGCTTCACCTCCTCCTGAGCACGTATGAGCTCGCGTTTGAGATTCGCTTGCTCGTCCTTTATGTAGCTCTCTTGGATGTCGAAGAGCTCTAGATGACGCGCAAGCTTCTTGTACTTGGTATATAGATCTTCCTCTTGTAATTCTTTATGAAGAGCGACCTTCTCAGTTATGACAGACTCGAAGGTGGGTTCCTTATTTTATTCCATGAGACTAAGTATCGTTCTTGATCAGTCAAACACGTACCTCTCTTTGAATTTCCATGCCTACGTCCTCCATGATGGCAAGTATTAAAGTAAGTGTTTTGGCAGTATGAGTCCTGAGTGAAGCTGACGCGTTGGTAGTCGTGGTAAGTAATTTCCTTTCTTGACATTTACAAGCGAGTCTCAAAGTGTCCTTGGGTTTAGCTTTCTGACCATGGCGCACGTCGTTCAGCCTCTGGATCAGCCTTCGAATTACAAAGACTCCCAGAGCAGAGTAGAACGCGCGAAACAGAATGATCTCCTCTCCAAATCCACAACATTATACGTGAGGTTTTCCTCTCGATATATCTCAACATAACTCACGGTCCTCATAGATCGGTAATTTAAGTTTCTATACCACGGAAGAGCAAATATATGAGTTGTTCACTAAATGTGCCAGCCCGGAGGACGGTGGAGGTATCAAACGAATAATTATGGGCCTTGACCGAAACACACGGTTTGTCGGGCCGTAGTCATATGCACTCGACCAGAAACTGACGCGAGGACCTGACCAGCACACCATGCGGGTTCTGCTTCGTGGAGTACTACACTCATGCAGAAGCCCTTGCCAGCATGAAGTATGTTAGCGGTACCAAGCTGGACGAGCGTATCATTCGGTGTGATCTGGACCTAGGCTATAAGGAGGGCAGGCAATTTGGACGGGGGAAGAGTGGCGGTCAGGTACGAGACGAGCACCGCCAGGATTATGATCCAGGACGAGGTGGATGGGGTGCACAAGCGCAGAGACTTGAAGCTGAGCGCCGAAGAGAAGTGGAGGAACGGTACGCGGACGCGCAAGAAGGACCTGGTGCGGTTGCTGGTGGAGGTGGTGACTGGAAAGAATCTGAAACGGCCGTTCCTTCACGGAAACGCGGACGGTCGCCAGATGATGAAGGAGACAACGTTCGTATGGTATGTTCATCCCGGTTCCAGGTGATTCAATAGTTGACATTGTTGCAGGGTCACCATCGTTCACGGGATGACATGGAAGTTGAACGAATGTAAACGTACTACTGTTATGGTTTACTTTCCTTATACTCTTACTTTTGGCACGAGACATCAAAATGTGAAATTATACGATAGTGATTATAAAATGCATGAGCCGATGGTCAGTATACGACACGAGCGCGCAGTTGGTATCTCCTTCCCCAGTGTTCTGGCTGATAATATGTCATGTGTAGTTTCCGTACGAGGCGATGAGCTTCAGGCATCGAAGTGGGCCGAACCAGGTATCGTGAATATAAGGAGAACGTATTGGCTGGGCTGTAGGTAAAATCATATCTCAGTCGCAGTTGAAAGTCAGAAAACCAAACTTACAGCTCGACTTTGACGGCCCCAATCTTACCGTCTACATTATCCAGCCGGAAATCACGCAAGTAATTTTCAACAGCTTCTTCAGAGATCTTTCCAGGCAAGCCCCAGATAACGACATGCTTCATGCGGGAGGACATCCCACCATGAGGACCATTGCCAGAGAAAACCTTGCGTTGCGGTCCTGTTCTGTCCAGCCCATGACCAGATCGTGGGGGAGGGGCTGATGTGGCTTTTATTGTCAGACTGCCTACAGATGCCTTTTCGAGTGCTTGCAAGTTCTTCTGCAAGTGCTTTGTATGAGCGAGGGTGAGGTATGCGCGGCCTGTAGGGAGGAAGCGATGATAGTCGATAGCGACTGGCGACAAAGAATGAACTGCGTCATATACGTCGCATTTAACAGGTAACGAGGCTCACCATCCGTTACACCTAGAAGTTGGTTGCGAATGCATAGTCTGCGCAGGTCGGTGAGGAGAGCTGAACGTGGCAGCTCTCGCAGCTGTATATGTGTCCTGCCCTCTGAGAAAAATTACACATTGGAAAAAGCCAAAGACTAAGTATCAGAACGTACCATCCACAAACCGCGGAATCATGCGTCGAATTGCTGTTGACTTGAACATCGGAGGGCAATGAAGTTAGTAAAGGACAGATTTTATGATTTGAATGACACCACGTGATCAGATGCACTTTAGACAGTGACCACAATGTCAAGCAGACACGACGGAAGAAGGCGCGAGCGTAGCTGGGAAAGAGATGACAGGGATCGCGAACGGGGCAAGGATCGCCATCCACGAGGTAACAGAGCTGGAGGTCAAAGGGATGGCGGTCGTAAACGAGGCAGTAGGTCCCGTAGTCCAAGGAGGGGTACGTCAACGTCATTTGCAGCGCTACACAAACAGCTTATTCTACCTATTCAGACAGGAGAGATCATGACAGGGATTACAGAGATCGAGACTATAAGAGCTCGCGAAGAGAAGACTACGACCGAGACAGCCGCCGAGACGATAGACGGCCTGAAAGACGTGATGAAAGGCGCGAGCCTCCGACTCGAGACAAGGAGCCAAGACACAAGGACCCCCAAAATCAGCGCGACCATCGACAACAAGCTGGCAGGCATGATTCTGAGAGGGTTTTAGAAAAGCCTTCACAAGCTAGAACTCCACCACCAGGTTAGGCTCGTGTAATACTGCGCGAAAGCACTTCTCATCATTATTTCCAGCCCCATCTGCTGATGCTGGTCCCTCCTCTTCCCAAAAAAGACCGAACCTTGATCCGGATGCCCTATCTGAAGAAGAAGGCGAGGCCATGGATGCCGCCAACGCCGATGAAGAGGCTATGATGGCTGCAATGGGGCTCCAAGGTTTTGGCACCACGAAGGTATGCAGGTCTTTTAACTTACTACGATACATAATTCACCTTATTCTCAGGGAAAGCACGTCGAGGGAAATCAAGAAGGCTTCGTCGATATCAAGAAGATCAGGACATGGCGCCAGTACATGAATCGGTAAGCTGTGCTCGTATGTCCATGTTTTGTTACTTACTCATACCTCCTTCTAGCCGTGGAGGATTCAACCGGCCACTAGATAAAGTCAAGTGAGTAGCCCAACTCCAGTCCGCCGCAAGATAAGTTGCATTTCCTCCCTTGTGAGACAGCTTTACTTCGATACAGCATGTTCTCAGATATTGCTTCGTCTTTCCTGGTGCTTTTGGAAATATATGCGAAGTCCAGACTTTTAAAAACTTAGTACATGAGAAAACATCTAATCGATCAACAATCGCTAATGTTACAAACGGCATACATAACACGTATACAGAACATGTGAGAAAGAAAAACTATGCTGACAGAAATATCGACGTTAACATCGAGGGTTTAAGTACACCCTCAGATGACATGGACTAGAACCCGTGCAGCTTGATGGTGTTCTTCGGAATGCCCTCCTCCGTGAGGAACTTGACAATCTTAAGCCTCTGATCACCCTGCAACTGGATGACTTGACCCATCTCCTCGTCGTCAACGAGAGTGCCGTTGCAAGCAAACTCCTGTGTGAAATTATTAGCGCTCGTAAAGTGTTGAAGCACATTCGCTTACCTTCTTGAAAGCCTTCAAGAGTTTTTTGGGATCATATTCTGCAGCCAGACTCAATCAGATGACGACTCGCTGGTGAAAAGCCCTCAACCTCACCTTTGGGTAATCCCTGCAACGTGGTCAAAGTCTTCCTTCCATTCCTCTGCTGAATACGAATATGAAGGTAATTCTGCTGGGATCCAACGTCTTGGTTGCCTCCGAGAGGATCACCCTCGTCAGCAAAAGGATCTGAAAAGCGCCCTGTCAGCCAACCTCATGGGGAAAAAATTCGTTAGGCAAGCTTACCGAAAGAGTTCAGGTTCTGCACGTTCATGCGATGTGAAGAGATAGATACACTTATGAACTGAGTGGGGATGTGTTGAGACAAGATAGTCGTTAAAAGAAAGAATGGACCTGGATACTTGTGGTGCGGCTCCGGAATTGGATAATCAGTGATTAGTCACCATCTAGGCTTCATATTCCTGTGGTGGCCGCCGAGTAGCCCGGAGCTCAGGCTACAGCGATGATCACCGAAGGGACCAAACGCAAAAAACCTCCGACTTTTGGACACCTTCCATTCAATAGAGGTGAGCTTTCGCGAGTTTCATCTCGTGGTTATACTCAGATTATTTTTTCAGCCAAAAAACTAAAGCAGTCATGGGTTGAGAGCACGAAGATAAAGTCTCAGTGGAAAGCCCAGAAAAAGCGGGAAGGTGTTCTTCAACGGAAACCCGAAGTGCCTTCCGATGGCGACCCACCCCCTGCACATCGGGAAAAATCTGATGGAAGTGACCCAGAACAATCGCACTCCAAGGATCAAGGCTCTCACTCTAGCAGTCATCCCGAGTGCAAGCAGCGACAAGTTCCAAATAGCTCAGCTGATGGCGGGATTTCACTTCGAGAACTCAGCAAACAAGCTTACTCACGCAATTCCCTTCATACGTACAAGGCAAATACCAGAAGACATGATATAAAACCTTCTCGTGGTGCCAATACGCAGAGAGGCAGCACCAGGGGAGGGCGCGGTGATTCCTTTGGAGATCGGGGGCACGGGAAGGGACAACCCAACATGAAGTATCGGATGACGGCCATGCTCGAAAAAATCAAGCGCGATTTTACTTGAATGAGATACATACACCCCGTTTATCGTGGTGCGTACCTTGACGCTGGGTATATGTCACAGCTCTTACTGTTTCGTTCCCAGTTCAGATGAAAGCACCGTCAATTTATATTTTCCTTATCTCCCGCACCATCTGCCATCCTTTGATCACTGCTATCCATATCATGTTGTCCCTCTCCTTTCACAAACCTTGTCTCCAGGGTATCCATGAATGGTTTTGAGCCCACCGTAGTGACAGCTGTAAGAGCTGTTGGATGACTACTCAAGTGCCCTGGGCCTGGGTCGTCCAATTCGTCTACTAGGCCAAGTCCTTTGGGTGGCATCCCTTCCAAGGGTTCGACGTGCCCCGTAGATTCCATGCCACTTAGTGCTAGAGGTGATGGAGGAGGACTTTGTGACTTTGAGCGTGCATCTTCATGATGAAAGAATATAGGAGAGAAGAGTGGAGTGGTCGGTGCTGACAGTAAACCAGCTGTCATGGATAATGAAGATATCGTTGGGCCGTCTTGGTTGGATTCTTCCGCAGGGAAAGCGTCCCACGAGGATGTAACGAGCAATGATTTCTCTACCGCTCGGAGATACTTTCCAAGAGCTTTATAGTGCTGTTTTGGTCGTATGCAGAGTTCGCAGACACGTTGTATGGTGAAAGGAGGATCGCTAACGCCATCTGCAATCAGATATCGTTAATGACCACAGATATGTACGCACTCATCAAATTCATGCAGTTGCCTGAAAATGAAAGCTTTGACCTCGCCTGCTTCTTGCTGGTTCATATACGCTTTTGGTACCTCGCTGTGGTTGAGATCGTTCTGTTCGCGAAGCGGGAACGGCGGTAACTTTAAGTTACCAGCTTTGAGGAGATCCTCAGGCAACGGTTGGAATTCCACTGTATTGTGAGGCAGTGGATCTGCTAGAAATAGCGCGATATTCTAGATGTCGAAGTTAGTTTCGAAGAGATGACTTAACATCAAAGGAGCGTTTATCACCTCGTCCACCTTGTATTTAATTACGTCGCGTAGTAGGGCCCATTCTATCCTGAAAAAGTGGACTTGTGAGTCGTAAACGCATGGATCGGTTCACTAGAGGAGCGCACTTTGACTCTTCTATGTCAGAGTCTGCGATTTGCTCTAAAACTGCGTCGTAATCTAGGTGGGGTGGTAAATTTAGGACCTCCTGACGAGTAAAATGTGTTTACCTGGGTTCCAGCGGAAGTGTTGTGATATGTCATATGCGCTCTCTGTCATGATGGCGGTGTTCAAACGTTCATGGAGGGTCGGCGCTAGCTGTGGTCCATGGGAATTTTAAACGCTCTGCCAGCAGACTTCTGTGCGTCTACTTCCGCAATCGTATGCTATAACTTCGGTCCGAGGAGGAGTAGTGCAACCTCGGTGCAGGACGTTTCTGGCTCGCCAAGCTGGAGGATAATATATTTATGGATTGGAATGTCTTACACACGGTTTGAACACCTTGCTCCCATGCACACCTGCTCTTCCCTAGCTTAACCCTCTACCAACCCTTCGACGAGCAATTTCACGACAAACAATTATGGCCTCCTTCAAATTCTGGGAGAACCCAAATTATGACAGGACTACCAAACGAACTGACAGAAAAAGGCGGATGAAAATGATCAAGTCCTATGCTCCTGATTGGTCCGTCGCATCAGCGTTATATCACTTTCCATACTCATAATATAATCTATCTCTCTGTGCAGGACCATCACAATTCTTTTGGCGTACAGTCTCCCACTCGTGCACCAAATCATGAGTTTAGTTGACGCCTTAATAACAGGATTGTGTTCTTCGCCCTCGACGGCATTCACGGCTTCCGACGAGAATTTTCGGTGCATGATGAAACGTGAGATTCTATATTCTTTCACAAAGAACGTTAACGGTTGCTAATTTATTCGACGCAGTATACTTTTTCCGTGAGTTGGGACATAGCTCTGATCTGCCTTCAGCGGCGTGACCTCGTTGTTCTAGGTTTGCAGTTCATGAACGCGTTCCGGTGAGCTTTATAACTGGTCCTCAAAGTACATCGTAATTTCGGTTCGCATCTAGGATGTTGCCTTGTACTTCATTGCGATTGTGGCGCCGCTCGTCCTTCAATTGGTAGTCAATTTACTCACCGTTCGGTCCTTCTGGGATTACCACTGCAGTGCACTCGGGCGTGGGTCTTTTGAAGCGTGATGTCTTGTTTAAGCTCACCGAATTGCGCAGTCATCTTGGGGCTTGCTATCACAGGTGCCATCACTCAGTTTACGAAGATCACTGTTGGCCGTCCCCGTCCAGGTTAGTGCTATGCAACTTCTCCTATCTTACATTTGTTTGACGTAGGCTTGTAGATCTGCTCGCACGATGCATGCCCATTCCAGGCTCCTCGGACCCCACTTTTGGACTCTCGACAGATGCAATATGCACAAACACCGACACAGCTATCATGATCGATGGTTGGAGGAGCTTCCCTAGTGGCCACGCCAGCTGTAAGTCGTCATTTCAATTCGGGAATAACCAAGATGTGAAACATTTTCAGTGTCCCATGCCGGACTTGGCTTCCTATCGTACTATTTGGCCGGAAAGATGCACCTGTTTGATTCCAGGGGGCACGCTGTGAGTGCACGAATGTCTTCCACTGCCCCGGCAACACGCTAATATATATATATATATTTCTCAGCACAAAGCTTGGATCTCTGTCACTCCTATTTTTGGAGCTATCCTGGTAGCAATTTCCCGCACCATGGACTACCGACGTCAGTTGATATCTCAGTATTTGTTATATTTGACCTCATCTACATCCACACAGACCACTGGCAAGACGTCGTAGCTGGATCCATCCTTGGATTGGTTGTTTCATATTTTGCGTATCGCCAATACTATCCTTCGCTGTCATCACCAATGTCTCATAAGCCGTATTCCCCGAGAGTACAACGTGAAGAGGAGCTGCCTACTGTCAACCCCGCAACTGACCGCCACAGTATGTCCTATACAGATGGCATGGAGGGAGAAGAAGTGGAGTTGGTTGGTGGTAGTGTGCACAAGTCTGATCCAGCTTTCACTGGGGGAGAAGGGGTCGACGGTGGCGCACCCCGCCTTTAAGTGTTCTTCAACATTCACTGGACATTCGATTAAGAACTTTTTCGTTATCCTTGGACGATTTCTATAGTCGTACATAATCACGTATTGCATGTAGTATGACATGGGCAAAGAATTCCCGTTACTCAGGCCTCATGCTGCGACGACTGACCAGATTCAAGTTCAGGCATGCAGTCTTAGTCGATTTACCAAGCCAAGGCAAATGTCCGAGTCATCAAGCCTTCTGACATATGTGTGAAGCGTCGAGTCATATATGTTTAACCCCAAGTAGACCACCGGTTGTCTTCGACCTTGACGTGCAAAATATCTTAGCACACATCATTCACTCTTCCAAGAAAGTCTTCATACCATGGAATCGCGAGCCATTAACTTTGGTGCAGGTCCATCCGCTCTGCCCGCTTCCGTACTTCAGGAAGCCACCAAAGGTCTCCTGAATTTCAAGGGAACCGGTATGGGTATCGCTGAGATTTCGCATCGCTCCAAAGAGTTCACGGCGTATCTACAAAGCGTTGAACAAAACATCAGAAAACTTCTCGACATCCAGCCCACACACTCCATTTTGTTCACTCAGGGGGGTGGATCCACGCAGTTCTCAGCCGTCGTGCTGAACATGCTGGCGCGACACCGTCTCCTCCACCCTCAACTGTCAGACGAAGACCGAGTACTGGATTATGTCGTCACAGGGTCCTGGAGTAAAAAGGCGGCCGAGGAGGCTAGGCGCATGGGAGGGAGCACCGTTAACATTGCAGCCGATTCACGCAAATACTCTAAAGACCAGAAATCCTTCGACAACATCCCAACCGCAGATGCGTATTCCTTCTCAAATGATCCAGCTCTGATCTACTACTGCGCCAATGAGACCGTCGACGGCGTGGAGTTCTCTGCTGAAGAAAATTCACCAGCCTCCTTTCCCTTCCAGCTTCTCCCAAGAAATGCACTTCTCCCACTTGTCGGAGATTATTCGTCCTCCTTCATGTCAAGGCCAATTCCCCATCTCTCAGACCACGCTATCATATATGCTGGCGCGCAGAAAAACGTCGGCCCCGCTGGTCTCACCATTTTAATCGTCAGAAACGATTGTATCGTTGACGTCGACGCCGCTGCGAGGCTCGGGGCTATTCCAGTCCCAATCTGTCTTTCATACAAAACGCTTGCAGATCATAACAGCCTGTACAACACTCCCCCGGTACTCTCCATTTACATTACCGGTCTCGTTCTTGAGTACATGCTCCAGTTGGGAGGGTTGGACTATTACGCGGGCCTGACAAACCGTAAATCAAAAAAGGTGTACGATGTGCTAAAGTACGGTGAAAATAAAGGCATCTTCAAAGGTAAAGTGAAGGAGGGCTCTGGTAGCCAGATGAATATTGTCTTCGACGTCCTTGGCGAAGGGTTGTTAGCCAAGTTCATTGCTGGTGCAGAGGAGCGAGGCATGAAGGGTCTCAAAGGCCATCGGTGAGTCCTTGCCTTTGCGCGTCATACATGACCAACTTCTCATTATTTTTCCATGCAGTTCTGTAGGAGGTATGGAGCATCATCATCTCTATCCATAGTTTAATCACTGATGTTTCATCTATCCAGGCGTCCGGGTGTCCATATATAACGCCGTAACAGAAGAAGAGACGGACCTACTCATCTCGTACATGGAACAGTTCGCAGGACAGCACAAAGTTGACAAGGAGTGAATGGAGCATCAGTAGGAAAAATTTGGGTAAATTAAGGGTCCGGACCCGAGTTGAACGTGCAGCTATACATTTGTATTACCCAGCAACCAGAGCATACGCCAGGCATCAACTGCATGGATGTTTTCGTAATTATTTATTTTGAAAATCTGATCTATGCATTCAGCGACTGCTCATTATGCAATGAAAGTCAGATCTCCAAAGCAATGTACCATCCAATAGGCACGAAAATGATTAGGACAATATCTAAATGGATATCCAGAACACCAAAATCTACAATCAATGCAGCCCATTCGCACCATGATCACTCGCATCGGACGGTGTCACGAACCCGCTATCACACCCGCTATCCTCATCATCCAGCCCATCCAACGCAGCCCTCAAATCCTCCACTAAATCTTCCACCTCCTCGATCCCACAGCTCAAACGCACTAGCCCCTCAATACCCAACGCCTCACGCTCCGCCGGCGGGATACTTGCATGCGTCATCCGTGCAGGTAACTCCGCAAGACTTTCCACACTACCCAAACTCTCAGCGAGCGTAAACAGCCTCAATTTCGGCAGAAGCGCTTCTGCACTCTTTGCACCACCATGTAGGCGGAATGAAACCATCCCGCCGTAGGGTATACCATGCACAAGGCTCGATGGAGGTAGGGTGCTGAGGAACTGTTGCGCGTTTGGGCTGAGGGAGGTGCGTGCTAGGGCGTGTAGCGAGTGCGAGGCTAGACCGGGGTAGATGACGTGTTCGACGGCGGGGTGCGAAGTTAGGAAGGAGGCGATGCGGAGTGCATTCAGACCGTGGGCCTTCATCCGCACTGCGAGAGTTTTGGCGCCGCGCTGGGCGAGCCAACTGTCAAAAGGACTCGGGACAGCGCCGTGAGCATTTTGGAGGAAGCGGAGCTTTTGGACGAGGCCTTCGTAGTCTCTGTCTGGTGTGGACGAGGAGGGAAGGATGGCGGCGCCCATTACGACATCAGAATGGCCGTTGACGTATTTGGTGAGGGAGTGAATAACGATGTCGGCCCCTTGTAGGAGTGGGGAGGCATAGAATGGGGAGAGGAATGTGTTGTCGACGAGAACGAGGGGCTTTGATGGAGCCCGACGCGCGAGACCCACTATGCGCGGAATGTCAATTAGTCGGAGGGTGGGATTTGTTGGTGATTCGATCCAGATAAGCTAAAGCATTCACATGAGTGGCTGGCTAAATTCAAATAGTAAAAGACAAACCTTGGTGTTTACCCTTATAGCACCTAATATTTCATTGTCTGTCGTGTTCTCCAAGTCTACAAACGTTGACTCGGTACCCATAGTTTCTTTCGCAACCCTCGTGAGGTACCTGAACGTACCGCCGTAGACATCGTTCACACTTAGGACGTGCGCGTTTGGACCTAGAGACTGCAAGACAGTCGCTGTCGTCGCGCTGCCCGAAGCAAACGCGATAGCGTGTCCTGCGCCTGCCTCCAGGCCTACAAGCGTACGCTCTAATGCATCACGATTTGGATTGCCAGAACGAGAATATTCAAAGCCCTATTCACCATACACATGTCATAAGTATGCTAAGGTATGTCGAGTCAAACTGAACCACGGACCTTGTGCACACCTACTTCATCTTGCTTGTACGTCGTGCTAAGGGATATGAACGGGATGACGGCGCCAGTTGTGGGGTCTGGCTCTGACCCTATATGAATAGCTCGCGTAGAAAAACTGAGCTCAGACGAGCGTTTCGAGTGACGCTTGACGCCTTTTGCATACCCGCTGGCGTGGTCGTTGGTAGTGAATATGGAGATGGTCATGGGTATTGATTATGTGGGGTAAACCTGTCGTGTATGGATGCACGCATTGCCAGCAATTTAAAGAGAAAAATTTCACCTCCATTGCATTTGCTTTGGAATGATGCATTGATTGCGAGCTCGGCGATGGCGTGAAGTCGCTGACAAAGCGCTTGCAAATCCTGTTGGTTACTTACTAATTCCATCAACTTGTGGAGTACTAACAATTGTCACTTTGAAGTTTGGAGCATCCTGCGCCGGAGAAGATGGATACGACGAACGCACTCGAACTCGTCCCATGCAGAACCATACGGTACAAGCAGGATCGGTATCACTGGCAGGGAAACCTAAGGACATGCGGTTAAAGTTGTTTTCAAACAAGTTGCAGTTCAGTGTTTACCTTTGTGTACACCCGTGCTGCTATGTGATCATTGGAAAGCCCCTATTTTCATCTTTATCTTCTAACTCACCTCACCAATGGATACCGAGTTCGAACTCTTTGATGACGACAAGTCCGATGTCAATGCGCCTCCATCGTACCATGCAGTTTCCATGTCCTCAATATCAGCAGATTCCGTCCAATGCAAACCATCATTTGTATTTTCCAGGGCACAGACCAAGCAGATACGGACCACCGTTCTATCTCTCATCCGTGGTATGGTCATCACACCGGATTTCATTCTTTCCTCTGTCGGCCCAACTCTCGACGCCTGCGCTACTTCTCTCCCAGCTGCAGAGTTCTCAGACATCCTTCAAGAATCCAATATCGAGGGTCACACACCCTTGTATTGGGCCATTGTGAATAAACGGCCAGAAGTTCTTTCGGCTTTGTATAAATTCATCACCCCATACAAGCATGATTCCTTTCAAGACGTGCGTCTAGCATGTATGGTAACTAACGACCATACATTATTCACGAGGTTGTCATTGACATCCGCTCGGCTTCATAGTGAGTACTGGCAATCCCTAGTCCTCAGCGAGTATTGATCATCGCGCCTCAATCAGAGATGGAAAGGACTTTGAATCTATCTTTAGGTTGTCCGGATGAGATTCAGGTGTATGAAGGAGATACAGAGAACCAATTCACTGCCAAAATGCAGATCACGATGTTCCAGACACGCATACGCGTTGTGCAGAAATTGCGCATGGAATTTATTGCGCAAGGTATGTAATTCGTGCTTCTACAGCTGTTCCTTACACACATGCCGGTCTCTGCAGGACGCATATGGGGCTTGCTCTTCCGTGTAGGAGATGATACGAGATGGGAAGCCAGCATTTATCTTGCTAAGCATAGCTTGCCAGCGCGTCTAAAAGCTCTTCTTACGGTGGAGGCCCAGAACAAGCAGCATCAAGTTCTGAAAAAGGAGTTCCAATTGGATGAAGGCTATTTCCTTGCACCCTCGGAGTAAGTTAATTTGTTCTGAGTCATTGAAGGCATAGCACTAATGATTTCTTTGCTCCCCCGGTCGTTGACATACTTGCTGATTGAAAGATACACCAGCTATTACATCCGTACTTGCACCTCCACCTCTGCTTCGTTGGGCGGTTGGCCGATATTCAAGTAAGTGTTCTACAGGCGCATTGATCTTATCAACTGATGTATTTTGTGACTTCTCCTGTGACGGCTTGAACTGACTCTGTTGTTTCAGCGATACCCTATATATGGACTCCAATGGCACCCTGCATGCAAAATTGGATGTGGCATTACAGTAGTACTGGTTGACAGCGAGAAGAGGTGGCCTGGGACGGTGCAGCTTAAGGATGGTCATGTCTACTAGATATTGCTATAAGACTTTTTGTCGAGATATTAGTTGAAGCGACGTTTCCAGTCACATTAATGTGAATGAAGTAACTGCGGCCTATCATACTATGACTCCCGAAGTATTACAATTATAGTTGGACAGCACTAGTAGACTGGAGTTGTGGTTTCCAGGCGCCAGATCCTTTCGCCAAGGCTGGTGAATGTAACATGAAATATTGTACGGGTATGTTAATGTATGTATGTATATGTTGGAATCCATCTACGGATGTAGATGATCATCACGCCGTGACATCTATAACCGTTGACGACCTCCTGTATTGTGGTACCCACATATCTTGTAGAGGGAGAATGATCCGCCAGAGTGAACGAATGGGCCACACTGCGCGCTGCAGCAAGGTAGCCCGGCGTCTGTGAACCCAGTTCTGTTCTTGAAGCATGACGACGATGTAAATCGTTACGAGCGTGAGCACAACAGTGACCATCATGTAGTGAGCGAGTGTTTGTGTCCCATTATCGATCTCCATAACGTTCATTCCAAAGATAGACTGAAGACATGTTCAGTCAGAAAGGATCTGCACATACGACCTTTATGCTTACCGCAGTAAAACTTGCTGGTAGGAAGACTATCGTGAGGTATGTGAACCTCTGCATCCGCCTACTGTCCTCAGTATTAACAATCGCAAACGTAAAGTCCATCGCATTCTTCAGTCGACTGCCCAGCATCATCCGTCGCCTTTCTAGACGATCAATTTCGCTGAGTAGATTCTTGCACTCCTTATTCATAAGTGCATTTGAGTCCGTGCGCTCTTCGTCAGTGACCTCATGGGACTCCATGGCCGGATTGTGGGTCGTCTCGATAAACGTTACTGCTACCTCGAAGTCATGAAGGAGTGATTGGTAGTGTAAAAGACGTGCTTGAAGGACATGGAGGTCATTTATAAGTGAGATATTATCCAGTTGCAGTACTTGTAATTCCTGGATGTGTTTTAGTAACATTACTTCCACGCTGCACAAGAGCTACATACCAGCTCGCTAACATGGCGAAACAGCAAATCAAGGGACTCATCCCATTCTCTTAGCGCATACCATAAAATTGCGAGGAAAAGGAATGTCGGGTCTTTGGACTTGCCGAATATTTTTTGCCAGTACATGCTTTCCCCCACGAACTGTATGAGAGAGCGGAGGTGCTTCGCAGGTGTTCTGTGCCCTTTAGACTCGGGATGATAGGATATAATAGTGTTTTCTTTTACGTCGCGGACCATGTGGATTGCGAGGACGTCAAAGAAGAGTACGTGGCCATCTATGAAGGATGTTTGAGCGTGAAGGTATTGATGTGAGGACATCAATACACATACCGCCTGTCGAAAAGGGAGCCTGGATATCGATCAGGGTATCTGCCGGAGGTAAATCAGATGGCTGCGGCAGGTGATGAGTCACTCACCAGTCACGGAGTCCCATGCTTTGGGGTCAGTTGGCGACTGGCGAGTGTGTGGTGATCGCGATTCCTGCTGCGATTGTAAAAACGGCAGGACAATAGTGATATCTATCATGCACATGAGCCATGCGACCCAAAGTGGAAGATTTAGACTTACGATCTCCTTTTCCATGACGAAGCGTGTCTTGATATCGTGAGGGCGTCCAGTGGAGGGAGGACGTGAAAAAGAATGGCTCGATATTGTATCTATGTATGAGGCTTTCAGGACAAGTAGAAGAGTAAAAGATGTCACATACTTTGTCCCCAACATGCGCAAGACCGGCTGCGTCAAATCATCCACAAATAACCATCGCACTCGAATGGTTTCTGGTCGCTACAATCACATCTTATATAACAAGCATACAAGATTTAACATAAGACTCACGTTTTGCTGTAACATATCCCAAAACTTATTCTGATCCTTTGTTGGCACTTTTGTAGTACCAGGGTCATTTCCTCCCATATCTGGGATGGTAAACCTGACGACGTTTTCGGAGTCGCACACATCCATCCAGTAAATAGTGCTAGTTTGATCCTTCGAACACTTTTCGAACATCTTACTTCGCTGGACTTTATCTGGGGTCCAGTTCCTGAACTGGTTCTGAGGGTAGCCCTGCCAGGATTGATTCACGACGGTTGTATCAGTCAAGTCAGAATTAACGTCCAAGTTCATCCATGGCCATGGTCTCGACGGTGCCACATGCAGGTACCTAGGAAGAGCATAAATCGGTCAAAACAAGGAAACAAAGAGGGCATGAAGAAATCTTACATGGGATCAGGTGCTACACGTAGCAAAGCTGCACCCCTCAAGGTTATATCTTGAGAGATATCAGAGTGTTTTGTGCTGACCTTCATGATGTAGCTGATTCGGAGTTGGAGTTAGCAGTTCATGACCCGCATGAATTCCGAATTTATATACTAATGGTTTGTGGTATCATGATGTCAGCATGAGGCACTGACAGTAGTACTGCAGCGGAAGCAACCTTTTTTAGGTGACACACACCCGCCGCGCAGCCGAGCCCCCGTCAGTCGTCGGAACCTGCATAACGTATGCTGCTGTGTTGGCACTGACCAACACGACAGGATCACAGTACTAGTCCGAGTGCATCTGTAAACTGCCCTTATATGGGTCTGAACTCTGAAGAATTACCGACAATTTCTAAAGCTTAGTTAGCATTACATAAATTACTTCATGTCGGATACCCAACCAGCTCACCACACAAAACATTTGCCTGTTCTCGCATATCCTTTTAATAATGTCGCCTTCCATCTTGTTCAGCGAGATGACGGTATAAGCAACGGGACTGCTCTGTGGCTTGGTGCCCAAGTCCTATCCGTCTACCTTTCTGCCGAATTCAAGGGCAAATCCAAGACGATCGAGACTGGAACAAACAATAATATTTCGGTTCTGTATGATACAGCACGCCCCAAGGCCGTAGAACTGGGCAGCGGGATTGGCCTCATGGCGTGCGTTCGATTGTCCATAGATGACCGTGAAGAGGATCACTCACCATCATAAACACATGCTCTGCCGCATATGACGGGTGCTTCATGGATTTTAGTCTTGCGCTCGCATCTCTGGGATATGATGTCCTTGCTACCGATACAATGCACGTCTGTGCGTCTGTTCTGCGTTCTAACATCAATGCGAATGCGCATCTCGTCCCTGGGCGTGTTCATGTGCGTGAGCTGGACTGGGGTGTCAACTCTACGGAATGGAAATGGGATGATCATGTATCGATCACATCGCCAGCACCTTTGCCAAGAAGGGGCGATGACGGCCGCGATTTCCTCGCCCCGCCATTTGATCTGATTGTGTCGAGCGATACGATCTATGATACAGCACTTGTTGCTCCTCTATTCGAGACAATTCATGCGCTTTCTGCTCTTTCATCCACCACACCCATCTCCCTGCCATCTTCACTTTCCAGTATTGAAGCATCGCCTGCACCCCCTTCTAAATCCTCTGGAACCCCAACCTACAAGCCTCCAATCATCTACCTTGCTGTTGAGAGGCGCGACCCCACATTCATCACGGCCACATTTAGACGTGCTGGCGAGGAGTGGGGACTTTTGTTCCAGCGTGTCCCCGAGAAGAGGCTAAGGCGTGCCGGTGTAGGTGTAGGATGGGATGCTGGGGAGTGGGATGGCGTGGAGGTATGGCGTGGAAGATGGGATGGGGTTACTGGGGCTGTCAAGTAAAGGTGATCTTGTGTGCTGTATGAAAGATATATGGAGCACAGCGGCGTCAACATAGGCGTTGGGATTAGTCGTCATCCAGTTGACACTATGACGTTTTTTGGAGTACCCCTTCGTTATTAAAAGTTTTCTCACTCAATTGGAATGAAGACCAGCAGATGCTAGATGTGATTAAGTCTAGTGCGTGAACATCATCCAGCAGATGGGTTAAAATATGGAATGTTCGAAAGATCGGACGAAGTCGTGAATACGGAGGTAGATAAGTAATGAAGTCATGGGCATCGTAAGGTCATGGCTAGTCTGTGGTTAGTATGTTCAAAATGTATCAAGGGTTATACACGTTTTTGTGGTCTCGTCCTACGTGAGAGGTGATTGGCATTCCCGTAAAGATGGAAATGAGAGCGACCTGACGTACATGACATGAAAAGAGGCATATGACTGCTCTCAGCCTCTTCCTCCCGACGCGTTGAAACAATGGTGAGGGTACGATCAAATCCGTGGTTTGACTGAAAACGCAGGATTGAGTCGATTTTGTCGCAGAATGGCCAAGATGAAAGATACGAGAGGATGGAAACAGGATGTGAGGAACAGTGAAACAAAACGGCGAGGGAACAAAGAGGATGGGTATAAAAGAGAAAAGTTGGAGCACGTACCAAATCTTTCCATGTTTCTTCCTCGTCATTATCTGTCTGCAGCTGATATATCTGCGCGAAGCCTTTAAACCTACATGAAAATACAGGAATCAGTACCAAGAAGATTGGAACAATTACACATAGGTATGCAAGAAAAGTAGGAGAGATGAAAGAATGGTATGTCACGCACGTCAGCTCGCCTTCTTCAGTGACGTCCAAGAATTCTCTGAGCTCCTCTTTAGTCTCTTCACTAAACGGTGCGCCATTCGTATCTTCTGCCCACGCGTCTAGCCCTGCGGCGTCAAGAATCGCATCATCAGGGGGCGTGAGGAGAGTCGTAGAGTCGTGTTTTTGGGGACGCGGCGGGCGCGGCGTGCAATATTTGGCGAAAATATGACGAAGACAGCGTTCGAGCTGTACAAGCCATGTAGATCGATCAGCACAATTATGCGATGTCAGAATGCGAGTGAAAAAATACCTTGTCAGAAATTGCACCGTCGGCGTCAAGCAACTGGGCATCATTGAACTGGGCGTTTCGCCTGCCCTGCTTCGATGATGGCTCGGGCGTTTCCGGGCGAGGGGACTGCATACGCAAGTCAAAATCGTTGGGCGCCATCCTCGTACTGGCTGTTCGAGCTAGAGCTCGATGGCAAGATTGATGCTTGGATCAAATCACTGAGATAGTTGAGCGCGTGCTCATCGATACATCACTGCCGCACGTGGCCTTATTCGTTTTCTATTATTATTATATAAGGGAATACAAGGCCCATAGTCACTGAACGACTCGGAATATTGCGGTCAGTGACCGGCAGAACACTGCTACTACTTGCTGCCAATTTATCCAAGTTCGAGCCTGCATGATGCATCCTAGAGGGGGGGTTCTGTCCTTCTAAATTCAAATACTAGTAGTGTTCAAAACCTAAACGAGCCTCAGGCTTCGAATTCGTGACTATGTTGCGCCACACCGTCGCTTACAGGCCTCAACATTGTACATTAGACGATTGGTCTGCGGTTTGGAAAGCATTTCTAGATTGAACTTCTCTCCTTCGATCTTTTGGTCTTGGACCGCCTCTATCCGCAGATCACGCAACCCGCGTGCGAATCAGCTTCAAGCGACTTTGATGCGGACTGTGCGGATCAGCTGCTCTGCAAAGATATATAAGATGCCAATGTGAGATGAGTCTTTTTCTTACTCTGCAATTCCCTCCTAGCTTCTCAGGCCTGAAAAGGCGCGCTGACTGTGCGTGGTTTGCTTTCCATAGACCTGACCGTGGTCTTGCAAGCCCCGTAGTTGCGACAGAGGGATCACTTGGAGTCGGGGACTGCCGCTTTCTAGCGCCACTAAGTTGCATATACTGCAATCAAGATGATCAAAAAGTTGGAGGAGCTACGAGACATAGCCGCAGCGTTGCGATTGCCAGAGACTGGACCGAAGGCTGAATTGTTACAGCGCATTTTACAGCACTTTAACGACCACCAGGAACTGAAGAAAAATCAGCACTATGAGGGTTTATTTAATCTCCCCCGCTCTTGCAGGCGCCGCCTCGAAAATGATAGTACTGCCGTAGCAGGAATAGCTTACATAAGGCTTTTCCGAAACTCCACAGTCCCCTAATATTTAGCACCGTTCAATAGCTTACACAAAAGTGAGGTTCAAAGTCTGCAGTTTCTTGTCATTTCACCGTGACTTTACTTATCTTCCTGATAGCCGAGGCCTTCATCATGCACAAATCCGCTCCGCTTGCAGTTGGTTCTGGCGCCATCAGCAAATATATCAGTACTATAGGCCTAAAGTACGTCATGTTCTCTTCGCTGTGGCCACTGCTAATCATCCATATTGAACTTTGTCGTTCCAACTTCCTGCAGGGTCAATGACATTCATCCTTGGATCAGGAGTGAAGTTGAGAATTGCGTGGAATGCCCTGTCGACGAAATGCTACAGGAACTACTTTACCGCTGCGTAGATCGCTCAAATCCGCTTCCTGATAAGCCGACGCTACTCATCGATTGCCTCAAGGCCGTCCTGCCGATCTGCAACAGTGGCAAAGAAGCTCGGGCCATCAAGAAGAATCTGGGTGCTGTGTAAGTCGGAACTCAAAATCTTGTGAAAGAAGATTAATATATGCACGCCACTATACAGTTCAAAGAAGAGAGTGGAAGAGAAAATGTACAAGCCTTTCATCCAGGCTTCAAATGTTGCGCTCAACCGATTGAGCAAACTGCATGTACCTGGATTGGTTTGTTCGAAGGCGCATGATGATGAAAAGATTCAGTTTCATAGAAACAACCCAAAGCACCAAGGCGAAACATCTACATGCAAGCCTGACATCGTCATTGTCTCTCATGCAAGCGCCAAGAAGGTGCGGAAGCGGTTGGGTCAGGCCTACGAGGATGAGGTGTTGGAGAAGCCCACCAACCAATTACGATGGACAGACGTTCGATCGACGGTGGAGTTCATATGCAAGGGGCCTCGGACTGGTATTTCGAAACCGCCTGCGACCTACGCAGTGAAGGCTTATGATGTCCCTGAAGCGAAGAGGTACATGAAGTATCCGAGGCAAACGAAGGTTACTGCAGAGCAAACAGGTTCGATCCCTAGCAGTGGCGCTGCTATGTGCTCGGGCCAGACATTATATGCGCGTAAGCTATCCTGACAGTGTGCACAACTGACCATTCCTTGCTGACGTATGGGTTGTAGGAGGACACTCGAAACAGTCTGAGCCACTGAATAACAAGAAGCGGGGCTCTAGTCAGTCACTTGATGGCCACAGGAGCAAGAGATTCAAAGTTGATGAACAGGAGCTGCCTGAGCTCACCCTCCAGAATGGTTTGTACACTGCGGAGTTGTTTGCAGCCCATATCGCACGGCAGAGCGTCATTACTTATGTGGTGAAGAGTAAGTCAATGGCATACTGGGAATGTAAATGTTTCGTAAAATTGATTGTTCGTACCAGATGACATGATTTACCTGTGGTATTTTGATCGGCAGGGCGCAATTCAATGCTCTGGTATTAACTTCGTGCAAGACCTTCCCCGGTTCATGGTTCTCTTACTTTCCATCCAGCGCATGCCATTCGTGGAATGGGGCTACAACCAGGTCTTCGAGCCTGAGCATGAACCTTTGGGTGAGATTCTGGTCCCAGATAAAGATATTGGAGAGGTTGACCTCGCATTCAATCTGAAATCTGATGACTGCACCACTCACTTCGGTGTGCGCGGACGTGCAACCACCATCTTTCCAGTGAGGAGTGAGAAACTTTCGGCTCTTGTACCGAAACTTGCCCATCACAACCCTTACAATCCTACCAATGAGCTGGTTGTCAAGCTGTATTGGCCAGAAGAGGAGCGCGAGAGCGAGGGTGAGATTCTCCAGAAGGTGTATGAGGTTGCAAAGGAGGATAAGGAGGGCAAGGTGAAGTACCATGTCCCAGAGATGGTCTGGTCACACAAGTTCGAAGATACATCCACTGCAAACATTCGGAGGGCCCTGGGACTCAAGGATGCTGAACGAGGCAGGCGCATCCTATATATAATTGTATTCAGGAAGCTTGAACCCATCACAAACCTGAGCGGCAAGCAGTTCCTAACGGCATGGTGGCATACTGTCGTCTGTAGGTATTGTTCCTTGTGTTCCTTATCAGTTCCTGACACCTGCAATGTCAGGTCATTATGCCCTCTGGGGAAACAAGGTCTATCATCGCGACATCAGTCCCAGCAATCTCATGGTCTACAAAACCTCAGATGATCAATATATTGGGGTCCTCAACGACTTTGATTTATCATTGACTCAAGATAGTCCCTTGGGCCAAGAGCTTATGGGGACAGCGCCTTTCATGGCCAATGAACTTCTCACAGAGAAGGCCATGGAAGGTCAAGTCGAACACCTGTACCAGCACGATGCAGAGTCATTCATATGGGTGCTCACCTGGGTCTGTCTTCGTTATCACGAGGGCCACCTGCTGCACAAGGGTAGGCCGCTTGATGAATGGCTGAAAGTAAATCCTATCCAGTGCAGGAAGGAAAAGGGCGACTTCTTATTCACAGGTCGTCACAAGGCACAACCTTCACCATCACACAACCATAGCTGGAAAGTTGCGCGATCTTGCCTTGATACTCTCATCCATCAACACATGGTGCTTCGTAGCATACCTCTGGCCAAGGATGTTGTATTTGAAACGTGGCTTGAGAATAAGATACAGAGAGTGTGACTGTCACTGGAGCTGCACTAATCATGTTTCGCGCAAACCATTTCTTTTTTCGTGTACTACTACGTGTTTTGATCATACTGTACACTTTTTCTGCTTGTTTTCTGTCTGCTGTACAATGTAATATTACAATGGAATTCGACGCATTGACGTTTGACGGTCGCGGCGGCATGTCGGCACATTTAATTCGTTAGTTAAACTTAGGACATAGATTCTGTGCCATTAATATTATCATCATTTCCTAGTAGTACTGCAGTGCCTTTGAAAGGTTAACGACCGATCAAAAGCATTTGTCCAGCCTGATCAAGGGACTCGGACGCGCTGAAAGTGACACACCGACACGCGACAGAACGTGTCATTTACGACGTGAGTCCACCGTTTCCGCGCTCCGAGTGTGAACACCGCGCACTACTATTGTAGCACGGACGCCCGTGGCACCTGCCAAGTTCCCGAGAACTGCTGCACCGACAGGGAAAGACCTTCGCTCTTTTTTCGGTGGTGCTGGAGGAGATAAATCCGCGAGTGTCTTCCTCCATCCATCCATAACTTCTGCGGACTCCTAGCACAAGAAGACTACCAAATCCGACCGCACAATGATGCCTGACTGTCCCTGACAGTGACGGCACCCCACAGAACAAGAGTCTCAAGCGAAAAAATACTGTCGTTATCTCGAGCGATGAGGAGGACGAACCTGTCGTGCCAAAGAAGAAAGTGGCCGTCGCTGCGAAGTCACCGAAGGTAGTTGCCTCGACCTTGACCTCGAAAGTGGCTGCACTGAAAGCAGTTGCGTCAACATCGACTTCAAAAGCTACCGCACTGAAGGTAGTCGCGTCAACATCTACCTCGAAAGCAACTACATCGACAAGCAAGACCAAGACGGACGGAAAGGCACCTCTGTCAAATCGAAGAAATCAAAGGATGATGAGTTTGTGGTAGATTTTTACGAGGAGGAATCAAGAGAGGAGAGTGAAGACAACTATGAGGACGAGGAAGACATCAAACATGAGAAGAAGGGTAATGCTAAGCCGCCCCTGAGCCTAACTTGAAGTCATTCAACTGTCTCGAGGGGCTAGCCTTTGTCTTTACCGGCGAACTCAGCAGCTTCTCTAGAGACGAAGCAATAGACTTGGCGAAGCGGTTTGGGGGGTGAGTTATATTTACATCTACGTTATCTACAAAACTTTATAATATCATAGGCATGTCGTAGGGCAACCTTCGTCAAAAACATCGTTTGTCGTCCTGGGTGACAATGCCGGTCCTTCGAAGCTTAATCCAATCAAAAAGCACCAACTCAAGACGCTTTCCGAGGACGAGTTCCTGAATCTAATCGCCACCTGTCAAGGACCAGGCGGACCAAGTGGTGGCGAGTTAGACGACAAGACCAAGAAGAAGATGGCAAAAGAACAGGAAACGATCGAGCAGGCTACGAAGGAGCTTGAGCGGAGGGAGAAACAAGCGTCAAAGGATGCCGATGAATCTGGCAGGTCAGTATGTACTCCTTTTTCACCTAGCACATCCGCTAACTCTTACCACAGCTCTAAAACCGACGTCTCAAACCAGCTGTGGACAACAAGATACGCTCCTCAATCATTAAAGGAGATCTGCGGCAACACAGGACAGGTGGATAAACTACAGCAATGGCTTCACGACTGGTAGGTCTACAAGTTAACGTCTCTCAAAATATTCTCGCAGCTCAGATAGTTTGAAGTGTGGTTTCAAAAAGCCGGGGAGAGACGCTATGAATGTATACCGCGCAGTAACGATCACTGGCCCGCCTGGTATAGGCAAGACTACTAGTGCACATTTTTGCGCCAAGCTCGAAGGCTTCGCGCCCATCGAGCTTAATGCAAGTGACGCGTGCAGTAAAAAGTTAGTTGAGGTAAATTAGGAGTGCACCCTTACCCTTTCACTGTGCTCACAAATGTGCAGAGTGGTATGAACATCAGCAACCTGTCGTCAGATGGATGGATGGGTGGAAACGATGTTTGTTGTTTCCACGCTCTTCGTCATGTCGATCTAATATGTCACTAGGCGACAAACGCAGCAGGAGTCAGAATCACTGATAAGACGTGTCTCATCATGGACGAAGTCGACGGCATGTCCGCTGGTGACAGGTGGCGTGGGCGCTCTCAACGCCTTTATCAAGACAAAAGTATGCTTTGATCCGTCCACTCGAGTAAACATCTTACCTCGTTATTCAGATCCCTATTATCTGTATTGCTAACGATAGAGGCACCCAGAAGCTGAAGCCACTCATCGCGAATATTTTTGGCATGTCATTTAGACGGTATGTGTTGAACTCGACTTCGGCCGTAACAGGAGCTCACTACGGTAACACGCCCGAGGCTCAAGCTGTCCGATCACGCATAATGACGATCGCGTACAAGTAAGTTGTCCTTCAATTACATTGACATCATGGTGATGTCGTTGACTAGGGAGAAGATGAAAATTCCTGCCAACGTCGTTGATCAGCTTATCAGTGGTTCTCAGTCAGATATTCGACAAGTTTTGAATATGTTGTCGACGTGGCGATTATCTAGTAGTAGCATGGACTTTCACGAGGCAAAGAATCTGTATGTGTGCTCTTCGTCGTTTGTCATCCACTAATTATACTATAACGCAGTGCAAAGATCAACGAAAAGTACACTATCTTGACGCCGTTCGACGTGACGTACAAAATTCTTGGTCCGTACGCGTTTGGGCCGAACGTTCGAGACTCTGACACTGGGCGACAAGATGGAATTGTACTTCCACGATCATTCTTTCGTCCCACTTTTCATCCAGATAAAACACACTGTTTCCGAATGCACAAAAGCGCTCACCCCCTCGTCAGGAAAATTACTTAAAGACTCAACCTGTCAAGGTTCGGAACCTCGAAGGGCTTCCGAAGATGTTAAGCAACTTGAGTTAATGGATCAAGCTGCATCTTCTATATCTGATGCCGATCTTGTCGATGCTCTGATTCATGGGTGAGCAGACCGTATAGCTCTTTCTATCGGATCTTATAATGTCCTTCAGGCCAGAATAACACTGGTCATTGATGCCATTACCTGCGGTGTGCTCGATGGTGCGACCTGCTTCATTCTTGTTTGGTCCAGGCGGCGGATACGGCGGCCAAAACCCAATGACGTTCCCTCAGTGCGTTTCCCCCGGATCACTACGTCATTCATATGATACTCGCACAAGTGGCTAGGACAAAATTCGAAACAGAACAAGCTTAGTCGACAACTGGGAGACGTGCAGGTCCGAATGCGGCTCAAAGTCTCTGGGGGCAAGCACGAGATCCGACAGTCGTACATCCATGCACTGTTCCCTCACATCTTTAAGCCATTGATAGATCGAGGCGCTGTGAGTCTTGTCGCTTGCTCTTCCTCCTCGTTGCTTATCATCATGTCCTTCATAGGCCGCTGTCGACGACGTCATTGAACGGATGGATGGATATTATCTTTCCCGTGAAGATTGGGACACTGTCGTTGAGCTTGGCGTGGACACGCAGAAAGACGATGTCGTTAACAAGCTCATCAAACCTGCGACAAAGACATCGTTTAGGTTCACCAATTAACCGCGTCTGATTGCCGCTAATGGCAAGTCCAGGTACAACAGCACGGATCATCCAATACCCTTCCACAAAGCAAGAGACCTCAGGAAAGGCTCAGAACTTTATGTGATTTAAGTATCGTGGACTTATCTTTTCACGGAGTGCTGGCTCGTTTTGATTGCAAGCCTGAGGACGACGCAGTGGGGAAGACTCAATTCAGCATGCTTGCTCAAATTTGGCCAACTCCCGTGACACCGCCCGCTACATTGGAGTCGATCGATCACCTTTCACTCATCCCTTTTTCCAGCTTTCTGTCGTGTTTACTCAGTTGGAACGCCCTTAGTTCTACACAATCTGTCTGCAACTTATACATAACTTGATTCCTTGGCCTTGAACGTTTGAACTTTCGATCAGATCTGAAATAATGTGAGTTGATGGTCTAATCCAAGACAAAAGCAGTAGTCAGAAATATTGGTTTTCAAAAAACTCAACAATTGCTAAACGAGCCCTTAGTAAGTTAGTAAGACTCTTGAGCTATCGCCCAATTCGGAACCCTAACGCTTCTTTTCAAGTACAGTGACGAACGCACTGGTCGTCGAGTTCATCTAGGAGCACTTTGTGATGGCAGCACGAGCAGAACCACTTTCGATAGAGTCCTTGCTGCAGAAACAGAAGCAGGAACGTGAGGCTGCTGCAAAGGTGACCCTGGCCATCTTACGAAAATGGAATGCTGATTTAATTCATGTACAGCCTAAATTCCTCTCAAAAGAAGAGCGTGCAAAGATAGCTATTGCAAAGCGTGCTGCAGAGCTCAGAGAACAACGGGAACGCGATGAGAAGTCACGAACGGACCGTGAAGCTCTAGAACGTGAAGCTGAGGAATTGAGGCAGCGGGAGCAAGAAAGGGAGCGTACTGCTAGGTACAGCAGTGCTCCTGCTCGACGTATGATTTCCTCTCATTTCGCGCAGCTGATATTGACTACGCGCTAACAGATGATGATAGAGAGTCAAGATATGGACATCCCGAAAAGGATACCCGACATGGGCACGGACATGGACATGGACACGGGCGGAGAGGTCGAGGAGGTGGACCCCCTCCAGACGACCGTCGTGCACAACCCCCACCACCAAAACACATACCAAATGCTCCAACAGGTCCAAGGGCCGACCGTCTCAAAAACTCAAACACGCCTTCTGGTCCTGTTTCCTCCAGCGCATCCCCTGCACCCATTAGCAATGCTAATAGCACCAGCAATGTGAATGGGAGCGATCCTCTTTCGGGGCCCAGTACATCCTATGTACCTCCTATGACCGAGAGCGACCTCAGTGCCGTACGTGATCGCTATCTTGGTGTGAACACCAAGAAACGCAAGGTCCGCAAAATGAATGACCGCAAATTCGTCTTTGATTGGAATGTGGAGGAAGACACATTCTCGAGCGATTCCCCTGTTGCTGTTGGCGTGAACCGTCAGGGTGCGCAGGTGATGTTTGGTCGTGGCCACGTTGGTGGATTTGACGACGGTGGTGGCGAGAGGGTTGGTCGAGGGGCTGCAACTGCCAACTTGGCTGACGCAATGGAAAGAAGGATGGCAGCGAAAAGCGGTCTTGATGAGAGGCATTGGTCGGAGAAGCCGTTGGAAGAGATGAGGGAGCGTGATTGGCGGATATTTAGGGAGGACTTTAGCATTGCTGCTCGAGGTATGTCTGCTTATTCATACGTGTTGGTCGCGGGCTCTGACGATAATCTCAAGGTGGTTCTATACCCCACCCCCTGCGTTCATGGACAGAGTCACAGATCCCACAGAAGATATTAAGTGTCATCGACAAGATTGGTTACAAAGAACCTTCTGCTATCCAACGACAAGCAATTCCCATCGGACTGCAGAACCGTGATATCATAGGTATTGCGGAAACAGGTGCATCATTTTTCAGTCTACTCTCTTCATACACTAACATCTTAACAGGTTCTGGAAAAACGGCAGCCTTCGTCATCCCTATGCTTACCTTCATCTCCAACATGCCACTTTTCACGGACGAGAACCGCCACCTCGGTCCCTATGCACTCATCCTTGCTCCTACACGTGAGCTTGCCCAGCAGATCGAGGCTGAGGCACGCAAGTTTGCATCGCCATTGGGCTTCACTTGTGTATCTATAGTCGGTGGTGTACGTCATCACATTCTTCTCAAGTTTCGGAATTGTACTCATTATCATGTGTCTAGCGTGCAGTTGAAGAACAACAATTCAACCTCCGTGAAGGAGCTGAAATCATCATTGCTACGCCTGGACGTCTGAAAGATGTTCTAGAGCGGCATGTGCTCGTACTCTCTCAATGTCGTTACATCGTGATGGACGAAGCAGACCGCATGGTGCACCTCGGGTTTGAAACCGACTTGTTGTTCATCCTTGACAAGCTTCCGAGCGAGACGATGGCAGGCGAGGATACTGGAGCAATGGACGTCGACGGCGAGGAAGTAAGGAAGGGTCGCACTCGGGTAACGACCCTATTTAGTGCGACCATGCCTCCTGCTGTTGAACGGCTTGCGAGGAAATATCTCAAGAGACCTGCTACCATCACTATTGGTGAAGCTGGTCGTGCTGTCGATACTGTCGAACAGAGAGTTGAATTTGTCAATGGAGACGAGAAGAAGAAGTTTGTCTCTTTTGTGCATGTCTTCGCAGCACCATGCTAATCGCGCACGTTTACAGGCAAGTGATGCTGGAGATTCTGAACAGTGGCCAGTACCCATCACCGATAATTGTCTTCGTCAACCAGAAGAAGACGGCAGATATGGTTGCCAAGGATCTCTCACGTGCTGGGGTATGTTGCTGTCATTTTGAAAGTTGGTCGTTGACCTTGGGTTTTATTTAGTGGTCCGCGGCAACGCTACACTCTGGAAAGACACAAGAGCAACGGGAGGCATCCCTACAGTCATTACGTTCCGGGGACTCCGACATCCTCGTTGCCACGGACCTTGCTGGGCGTGGTATTGATGTGCAGGATGTGAGTCTTGTCATCAACTACCAGATGGCAGGTACCATCGAAGCATACGTGCATCGTATCGGTAGGGTATCTCCCTTATCTAGGTTTTTAAGTGATTTAACGATATTAATGGTGCAGGTCGTACTGGTCGTGCGGGCAAACAGGGTACGGCGATCACCTTCTTGACAAATGATGATGACGAAGTGATGTACGTATCTATCACAAATTTTTTGGTGGTGTTCTTGCTGGATTTATTGGATCTTCCTTCGGGGAGTAAACCGATGGCCGCCTGGCCCAGAGTTTCTTTTACTTGACTGAGCTCGGAACACGGCTGATTATTTGCTTCTGTAGGTACGATCTTAGACAAGGTACGAGCTTTTTCCCATTCTCATATGGATTTGGTTCCGCTGGCATGATGCCGCCTTTTTATTCTGGTTCTATCGTTATCAATTTTGTCTTCGTAATGATCCTTTTTATCATGCTTGATATGTTTATCGATGTCCCCACTTGGTCGATCATTGATGAGTGGGTACCCGGGATCCCGTCCCGTCCAAGCCAGTTGCTCTCCCTTCCGATGCCTCCTGGACGCTGGTTTCCCTGGTTTCTGTATCAATTTTCACTTTACGAGGTCAAACTGGACCCCGTTTATCTTGTGTCATCTGTCAAGTGGCGTCATGCGTCGGTTGTTTTTGCGCTGTCTTGCTCGGTCAACGCTAGTTTGGTTTATATTTGCATTCCTATTTTGACTTGCAAGGTTTGCGTTTACTAACTAGCCTCTCACACAGAAATATCCAAGAGCCCCGTGTCCAAAGTTTCGGCAGAACTCGCAAAGCATGAATCGGCGCAGCACAAGGTTTCAAGGGAGATGAAGAGGAAGCGTGATGCTGATGATATTGGTTGAGACTAGGACTAAGCGATGTTTGATCCGGAGCGAGACTTTTGGAGTAAAGTGTAGGCTGCGTGCGCTAGTAAGTACTTTGTACTAACGGATATTTATCGGGAAAATGGCGCTCCGATGCAGTGGCGTACCTGTCACTGTTGCTACAGTGATAGGATTACCGTACTCCACGCGTGCAAGGATCACTGATTGGTTAATACTGCGACTGCGGTGGAAGGAGCAGCATAATATTAAATCCAGGTATCGGAATGTTCAGGGTGGCTCCCCACATGATGCCAAGACGTGAGAAAGTACTTGATTAGTAGTGAAATTACTTGTTTGGGATTGCCGCCTCCATGCCGCCTCTAGGAGCCTTGTCGATCCCGTTGGGTGACGCAAAGGGAATTCAGTAAGCAAGCGGGAAGAGCGGGCTGGCTTCGGTCATAGTACGAAACTGTACTAGTAGTGAGACTTTGATCTACCTCGAACCGGATCATGAGACGTCTTCGGGGGCCAAGGTCAGGCTACTAGCCAAGGCTGAGTTGAAACTAATTCTTACGTAGAGCGGAAAGCGCTGTCATTGGTAGCGTTCAAACCTTGGCGTACAGGATAGCGGCTAGTAATCGCTTTGATTAGTAAGCGCTTGCCGATTGGATGCCGATCGGACCGAGATCTATGGAATTGTGGATTTTCTGACGCGATATAGTTTTAGTCTTCCAACCTTTCAATACTTACACACTCAGCTCCAACCACATCACCACATCATCGCCCTCTTCCTCGTCGTCCTCCTCGTCGTCGAAGCCCGTGATGCTCTCTGCAATTCCAATGCAGCAACTTTCTATTTCTAGTAATGACCCTTCTCCACCTAGTAGTCCAGACTCTGTCAGCGACCGTCATCCTAATTCTCTCCTCACCGTCCCAGACATCGACCGCAATGGTCGTCTTGCCACTTCAAATCCCATCAATGTCAGTTCAATCCCTACTCCATTTAACCTTACTAACTCCTTTTTCAGTCTCCAGACACCGCAACCCACGCTCGTTTTCGTTTTCCCCGAAAGCCATCTTCATCCGCTCTCAAGCAGCAGTCTCTAGGCACAACCTCACCCGCTAAACATGGCCCTCTTCATGACCTCAAACGTTTTCTCAATCACCATATACCTCATTCT